TTCCAGGGTAAAACACAATAATCAATCATTAATGCATCAATTAATTAGATCATAAAAGGCTTTCGCTATGTATTACAATAACAGATTAACCTACTGGAATTAAATCGCATCTCTCGAATCTTGACTCAACCATTATAAATTAACTTGCCTATTGAAAATAAGCCTAAACATCAATTCTCATCTTTCAAATCTCAAATCAATAATGCATAACTCATACAATTAAACCTGGCCAAATATAATTTCATAGCATTAAATCAATCAATAGGAAACCAATCAAGCATTGACAATCAACAATAGTAAATTATCCCTTCATATTATTTATGGATCCTCACAACCCTAGAAATAAGACTACTCACACATATTTAAATCTAAACTAAGCAAAGCAAATAAACAAGACATAATTAATCAAAGCAATTAAATTACTTAAAATAAAAGGGAAGAAATCGTTACCAAAATAAACGGAAATGATGAATTGCATAAAACTCAAAGTGTAGAGAGAGAAAACAAGAGTATTAACCAAAAGCTTAAAACTAAAATCAGGAAGTTAACTAATGAAAAGACGTCCGCAAAACTTGATTAACAAAGTCTATTTATACTTAGGCTCCTAAATCCTAAATTAAAACAAAGTAAAATTCACAAAAATGCTCCTTAAAAGCACGCGCCCAGTCGAGCGCCATCTCGCCAGGCCGGGCCCGCCTTCGGGCGAAGAGCTACTTCTTTCCCTTTGCCTCGCCTGGCCGGACGCGCCTCAAGGCGAGGGCTTCCCTAGTCGGGCGAGCTCTCAGGCATCATGGACTTCCTCAATTAGTCTATTTCTTAGCCCAATCCGCATTTTCTCTTCGGGTCTTTATGACTCGGTCCAATGCTTCGAACTCTTCTTCTTCACCGATCCCTTAATCACCGGTTTGATTGCTCCAACGCGGCCTTGGGCTTCGGAATGTGGTCATATGAATGCGATCCTACTCCAATGCTCGTGGTGGCTCAAATAAGTCCGGGAAAATGCTCCAAATCCGCAATTTCCTATAAAATAATACCAAGACTACGAGAACACCAGAAATCGCATATTAGTAACAAAAGTGGCTCTAAAGAGCCAAAAATACTCCTAAAGATGACCAAGGGACGGGGGTAAAACACTATATAAGATGAACATATCAGGTAACCACACCCTAGGAACTATTTGTACAGTATCATCGTCAATCTCAATCTCTTCTATGCCGAAATAATCGCAAGCTCTGCGTTCTTGAACGCCAAGACCCCTCTCAGCAATAGAGTCAAAACATGTATGGGGACGGTAAAAGGTCCTAATTGGGAAGTCTTCTGGAACATGCATAGAGAAAAACTTGTCTTTCCAGCCTTTGAGCTAGATAGTTTGCGGTGGACGGTATACTTGCGGGGAGCTGTGTAAATTGACCACCAACCCTCAGATTGGCCGTCCCGTTTTAGCCAATGAAGCCTCCTGAACAAGTTCAGAGTCAAAGGAAAGTTCTTATAGAGCATGACCCAAACAATTTCCACTACCGTCTGAATAGTCTGCAGAGTGAGTTGTACAAGGTAGACATTCTAGGTCCGTAGAATCTTACAATAAAATCATGGATAAGGAAGCGGAGGCCGAAGTTAAGGTGTTTAGCGTAAATAGCAACATGGTCAACAAGACAGTCCAGAACAGTGGACTCGGCAGGAGGCAGGGTCAGTTCGTAACCATCAGGAAGCCGATAGAATCGCTTGGCATGTCGGCAATAATCTTTCTGAAGAGCGAGCTTTGCGCCATACTTTGTTGGTTTTGGCCTCGGCAACTTTGTTGGTAGGGTCAAAATTAATGGGATGCCGATACTCAGCATCGTCCTCCTCAAAGTTGTACCCTTCATCTAAACTTTCTTTTTTGGTAACCTGCTCCATTAGGTTTACCAAATCATCCTGGCCATCTGCGTTTACGGCCTCCTCTTGGTTAACCTCCTCACCGTCATTTAATTCTTCATCATGAAGGACATAATTTAACGGTCGAATCATGAACATCTGACCCGTTGTTACCATTATCACCGCTAGGACCCAAATTAGGGCCCTCAGGCTCTGACTCATCGGAGGAACTCACAACCTGCGCCTTATCAGGCCTCTGACTGGTTTCAGCTTCTGCAGAAGGGATATCAGATGTAACATGGGGTTGGTAGCTAGTTCTCTTTGTCATCGGCATGGTTGCAACCCTAATGTGACCAACGTTAGAACCGTATTGGTCAAGATCTGGTTTATCAGCGAAACTACGCAAATGATATCGGACACTAACTGGCTCAACGTCAAGCACCTCGATATCAGCAGGCGAATCAGGGTTATTTGGTCAAAAAACCCTCTCACAGTCAGCTATAACCTTGTGACTGTAATAGGCCTGCCTTTGCTCTTTAGCAGTTAACGGCTGAAACGGATCTTCAATATTATCAGAAAGAGAAGACGTTGTACCTTGGGTTTTATCGATATCTTTACCAAAAGATTGCCTAATAAGACGACGCCGAACGGTATTGAGTGTGGGTTTGTTCCTCCTCCAAACTATTCTCAGACATTTATAACTGCTAACTACGCTAAAATCGGAAAAATAAAAAACATGCAAAATTAATGTTAGGGTTCGTGAATACCTTCAAAATTCCAATCAATGAATGCACCTAAAAGTTACAAGATGTCGTACTCCAAATCCCCGCTGCATTTGAGAACACTTGATAGCCGCTAAAAAACTTACACAGAGATGCCTTGAATTCGCTTAAGTTTGATTTCGAGAGGTTTTTTAGGAAGATGAAAAGAAAAAGGGGAAGCAAATACTATTTATATGGGTCTCAAAAAGTGACGGTTGATGTGACGGGCTGGTCAGAAATCAAAGGGCTGGGAAATATTGTCAATTCAAAACTTTTCAGCCGGATTAACGACACGTGTCCTTGGAATAGTCAAACTTCCCGCCTAATATATATATATATATAAAAATAAATAAAACTTTAAAATAGCGATTGGTATTCCAATCGGCCTAAGTATAAAGTAAAGCTTATCTTCTATCAGCAGACAAGCTCACTTAGGGGGCAAATCGGAGATTTTTTGCTCCCAGCCCGATTATAAAGTAGAGCTTATTTGCTAACAGCAGACAAGCTCACTTGGGGGGCAAATCGGAGATTTTTTTGCTCCCAGCCTAATTATAAAGTAAAGCTTATATACAGACAGCAGACAAGCTCACGTGGGGGGCAAATCGGAGATTTTTTGCTCCCAGGCTAATTATAAAGTAGAGCTTATCTGCTATCAGTAAACAAGCTCACTTGGGGGGGAAATCGAAGATTTTTTGCTCCTAGCCTAACTACAGAGTAGAGCTTATTTTCTGTTAGCAGACAAGCTCACTTAGGGGGCAAGTCGGAGAATTTTTTGCTCCCAACCTGATTATAAAGTAGAGCTTATCTGCTGATAGTAGACAAGCTCCCTTGGGGGGCAAATCAGAGACTTTTTGCTCCCAGCCTGATTATAAAGTAGAGCTTATCTATAGACAGCAGGCAAGCTCACTTGGGGGGCAAATCGGAGATTTTTTGCTCCCAAGCTAATTATAAAGTAGAGCTTATCTGCTATCAGCAGACAAGCTCACTTGGGGGACAAATCGGAGATTTTTTCTCTCAGCCTGAATATAAAGTAGAGCTTCTCTATAGTCAGCAGACAAGCTCACTTGGGGTTAAACCTGGGCATCGTGCCGGGCCGTGCCACCGCGGGCCGTGCCTGGCGGGCCACGGGCTCCGGCGTGCCGTGCCGGTCGTGCCACCGTGCCGAAGACCCCGTGCCGTGCCGTGCCGGTCGTGCCACCGTGCCGAAGACCCCGTGCCGTGCCGTGCCGGCCATTCTCACAGGCCAGCCCACGGCCTGGCACGGCCCTCGTGCCTAGCGGGCTCGTGCCGTGCCGGCCACGTGCCAGCCTGCGTGCTGGCCTGGCGGGCTAGCTGCGGGCTGGGCTGTTCAAGATTTTTTTTTTTATTTTTTTTTTATTTTTATTATTATTATTATTATTATTATAATGTTTACACTATAATACTATATAAATAAATATATATATATAAATATATAAATATATAATTTATATATAAATATATATATTTATATATATATATATTAATATATATATATTAATATATATATATATTTATTTATTTAGGGCGTGCCTGGGCGGGCTGGCACGGCGGGCCGGCACGGCGGGCGTAGGGGCGGGCTCGTGCCGTGCCGAAAAGTCCACCTCTTGTCCGTGGCACGGCCCACGGCACGCCGGCGGGCCACCGTGCTGTGCCGGGCCACCACCCGGGCCGTGCCGTGCCTCGTCGAAGGGCGGGCCGTGCCGGGCGGCACGCGGGCCACCCTGGCCCGTGCCCAGCTCTACTTGGGGTGTTAATCGGAGATTTTTTGCTCTAAGCCTGAACATAGAGTTCAACATATCACTAAGTTAAGATGAGAACTCAGTCTCCTAAAATTGAAATGATTGAGTACAAATAAAGTTCAAGTGTAAACTCAGTCTCCTAGAGATTAAATGGTTGAGCCCATTAAAAGTGAGAACCTCAGTTTCACAGACATCCTCACTTGGGGGCCTAGTTGTATAGGGAGATACCAATAACAGGTATAAGAATGTCGATATCAACCCTATTACAGAATACATGGATTCCTACTACGGATCATAATGACCATATCGGTATACACTCATAACGACATAGGTAATGGTCGTCCTGTGAGCAACACGTGGCGTCAGGCGACCAACACTTGGCATGTATGTGACTTGCATGGCATGCAGCCACCTGGCAGTTGGATTCTCTATAAATAGGCAAGTTAATTCTTCATTAAAGGGTAGCATTTATTACACTCTCTCTCTCTGTCTCTCTCTCTTATTCTCTCTCTTATTATCTTCACTTTTTCTTCTTCTTAAACACTTTCTGACTTTACCATCGGAGTGGTTATCCTCGGATTCACCCCGAGATTAGCTAATCCTTATTTCCTGTGTTCGTGCTTACATGGACAATAGGGTCTTCACGGATTCTGGGTACGGGTTGTTGGGTTACATCCTGAACACCAAGACAAACAACTTTGAGGTTCTCTGGTATACATGGCTTTAAGGCCATTTGATGATGTATCAAAAGCTCATTCATTTCTTTGTATGAATGACATCTGGTGCTAAACAATTCATACACCATTATTGCTATAATATTCATATATAAAAGATGTAGTTGGCCGAGAACAAAGCCACCCAGCTACTCAGGACACGGCAAATAGAAAGCCGAGCTCCATTTGAGAAGATAACTTGTCTTCATGCATCGAAATGGCCAAGTGCCGAGCTCGATGTGAGAAGGCTTGCAACTTTGTAAAAGCAAGCGGTAAAATGCGGAACAAGAAAACTTGGCCAGCAGGGCGAATCCCCTAGTACGAGGAGCCATTGATGTCGTGTGTTATACTGTGTCCAATTTGTTAATTACAAAGCATACGGCATGAAATGGCCATACAACATTGTTGCCAAGCTCCATTTGAGGACAAGCTACTCAAGTTGAAGACAAATGCCGAGTGAAATAGGTATGCTCCCCCGTACAAGCAATGATGGTCGGCATGTTGAGCTTTACAGCTTTGCAAATTATTATATTATTATATTATGATAATAATTTATCATAATATAAATTTTTTACATGTCTAATGTGAAGAAGCATAATATAAATTTGCCGAAGAAAAGATACTATATTATTTTGTTACTGTCATTGGTGGAAATGTAAGAGCTCCATGTATTGCCTCTTGCGTGAGCTTAAGTGGAGCGGCATTCAAGAACACTCGACAAAGCAACTCGGCACAATAATACCATGATGCCGACCACCATTTGAGAACAAGCCTGCCCTTATACATTCAGGTGGCATAAATGCAACATAAGACTTGAGAGCTCACTCTCATTAAGTGAGCTATCCGGCAGATTGTCGAACCCCGCATTACGACCGAACAACAAGAAGAGTAGCTACTCATGAATACTTCAGTTAAGCAGCACAGCTCAATGTGAGAATCATCTCACGTTCAAGCATCGGAACGACACTTAAGCCTGGTGAAACTTGAAAGCTCATCTTCAAGAACTATGCTACATACGGCATTTTCATGCCAAGCTCCTCATGAATACGAAAATTAAACGGCGGCTAAGTACCGAGCTCAATGTGAGGAAGTCCTCAACTTCGTAAAAGCAAGTGGGAAATAGGCTCAAACCCATCTCCATGAGAGTATGATCATATGAGCGGCTTGGCCGAGTTGGTGTTCGAGCGAAGCTGGCCGAGCTGCCTTCCACCAAAGCCTCACCTTTTCACTTCTTGGCGGCAAAATGGCAGCAGCATTGTTGGCCGAATAAAATTGCAAAGCACCCTCCAAGGTATATATAGCTGGTCGGCCCCTTGTTACTACACGACATGGCTGGCCAAATGAAAGTACGAAGCTCACCCTTGCGAGCATAGCTACCCGGCCAAGCCAGTGAAGCAGCATGACCAAGCTACAGCCTGGCCGAGTTGCCCTTCAAAGAAACACCATGTTCCTAATTCTAGGCAGCCATGCTGCCTGTCCGAGTGAAAGCGGTGGCCGAGCTGCCATATAATGATACTATGCTTTTAGCATGAGCATTATTATTATGCTTATATATAATAGTTTAATAATAATATTATAATATTCATGTATAAATTTTTTTTTTATTTTTTTTATTATTATTATTATACCTTCCATTGAACATACACACATGATGAGTGGCAATTGTCTAAAGCCAAGTGTCGTACTATGTGTCTTATATCCATATAGGTAGCTGGCACTACCATTTGCATAAATATAGCCACGAGGCAAAGTTTTTAAGCGGCACTAAAGAGATTATTGATGAATAAAAGCTTCAATATGTACTCTATAAGAAACTCAACATGGTTGAATATAGCAAGGCCGAGTAGGCCGACTGAGTGAAAATGCAAGGCATGCCCCTCCTAGCATAGCTGGTCGGCAACAACAGCCTGGTCGAGCTGCCTTCAACTTAAGCACCAGCTACTCCTCTTTAGGCGGCAAGGCAAGCAAGCTGGCCGAGTTAAAAAGCAAAGTGTGCCGTACCAAGCATAGCTACTCGGCCAAGGCAGAGCAGTAGCCTGGCAGAGCAGTAGCTTGGCGGAGCAGCAGCCTGGCCGAGCTGCTATTGAGCAAGAGCCCATGTTCCTACTTTCATACAGTCAGCAATGTGGCCGAGCTTCTTGGGCGAATGAAATAGGAAACCTCGCCCTTGGAAGCATAGATGATCGGCCAGCACTGGGCGTCCGAGTTGCCTTCGGGTAAGGAACTATCTTCTCTCTTTTAGGCAAACATATATGCCTTCGAGCGATGAAAAAAATCGGCAAAAATTTGTACTTGTCAGAATGCCTCAAAAAATATATTTTTAGAAAGGGAAATGGGCTAACGAGTCATCCGCGTTCGTTTAAAGCCCTAGAAAGGCACTTAAATGTTTTTCAAGTCAAATAAAATGACAGAATTCGATGTACTGAATGAGCGATACGGCCGAATGGTGGTATTATTGTTAGGCGACATCATTATTATGATTCTAAATATTGATTCAAAATAAAAAAAAAATAAAAAAATAAAAAAAAAAACCTGTCCGAGCTGCCTAGCCGAGTGCATAGATGGTCAGCCATGGCTGGGTGTCCGAGCTGCTATTGAGCAAAGGACCTCCTAATCACTTTCAGGTGGACAGGTATTAAGTCGGCTAATGTGCCGAATAAAATTGGGTGTCCGAGCTGCTATTAAGCAAAGGATCTCCTAATGACTTTTAGGTGGACGGGTAATGACTTGGCCAATGTGCTAAATGAAATTAAATGGAGATTGCTCATTGCATCACAAGACGGAAAAAATAATGCTGAAGAGAAACCAACATGTACAAGTAAGCATGGCTAGACGGCATTTGTCTTGCCGAGCTAGGTGGCCGAACTGCTATTGAGCAAAGGACCATCTACTCGATTCTAGGCGTCCTTTGCAAAAGAAGTTAATTAGCACAAGCAACTCGGCACCAAGATAGACCGACAAATTGAACTTCTGGTTCCCTCGCCGAATATGGATATGAAGCCGAGCTGGCCATACTAATGAAGCTAGCTTTGAGAAAATAGGCGACATGAATAGTAATATTGCCGAGCATATGGCATAACCATTGCTAAGTGGGCAAGAGTTAAGGCCAACCAACATCTTTTCCGAGCAGGCGTTGCGTGTCATCTCTTGAAGATGGGCATGCAAGACAACCCTAAGTCAAGAGCATAACTACTAAGTAAGATGGCCGAGCTTCCCTTGAGTGAAGCCTTTTGAGGCCTCGCAACCATGAATTTTGTTATACAACACTTGATGATGGCCAATATTTGGCATACTTGGCTGAGTGTAATGGCAAGGCTCGTCCTCGTATGCGTAGCTGATCGGTGGAGGCTGAGTTGCCCTCTAGTAGTGGATCACCTTCCAACTTTCATTCCACATACTTGGCCAAGTGAATTGGTTAAGAAAGTTTGTAAAGGCTGAGCTTCCCTCCAGCAAAGGACAACCTCTTTGCTTTTATTCGACAAGATTGACCTAATGAAATTAACCGAGTTTGCTTATATGCGAATATCCACTCGACAAATCTGAAAAATTATATGGCACGAATGCCGAGTTGGAAAATATCCATGAGAAAGGATGAAATAGAAAAATAATGGTATGAGCTCGACCCTTGCAGACGACCTTCTTTTAAAAGACTAAGCGGCATTCACAGCTACATAAGTTAAAGTGTCGACTATGATAATTTGCTCGACATTTAAGAGTCGACTATATATAAAGTCAAAGCATCCAAGATAACCTTTGTCCAAGTGGAAATGTCGAAGATGGTAGAATGATGACAAATGATGGGCAAGAGAGCCACTTGCGAGGGCAGGGGCTAAGTGCCAGCCAACCATGTTTCTTTCATGTTGTAGGAAACGATTGTTGAACAACGAGGCGTACTTGTCGAGCAGACAAATGCAAAGCGCTAAGACTTATTGTACAAAACAAAAGAGTCGGTACAGACTTAGTATGCTCCAGCCGAATGACATCAGTACCGAGTAGCTATCTAACTCATGCTTGACCAAGATGAATCAAGGCCAAGCATATCAATGTGATGATAAAACTAATATGAGTATCTAGCAACATCAATGGCAAGGCTTTAAGGTCCTAGCCAAATCATGAAATCAGCCGTATGCCGACGCAATATCCGAAGTTGGGCCTCTTGAGATCGTCCAACAACAAAGTGAAACCGAGCACCAAGATCAGGCCTGTTCGAAAACAATCAAACGGCCATGAGGCCAACCAACCATAAAGTCCTAATGGATAGGGGCTAGCTAGTACACAAAAGATAGCAAAGCTTAGTACGTAACCAAGCAACCGATTGAGCTGGCCAACACATGAGCCAAGGCCTAGCTTGAGCAAACAACCTTCCTTTAGGAAGATAAGCAGCACTTGTGAGAAGCCAAGTGGATGAGGACCATTAGGCCTCGACTTATTACTAAAGACCGCAAGAGGCAACAAATTTCAAAAGATTAATGCAAGAATTACCATTAGGTCGTGTAGGCCCTCTACGATTTCAAGATGTCTACTAAGTGTCCGACCATCTACGCAAGCATTCATTGCTCGCAAGATAGTTTCAAGGTCGGGTATCATTGCAACATAATCAAGTTGATGATCGAAGATAGAAGAAAGCTCATCAAAGATGGGGCAGCTTCTTCTAGTAATTGAACGGCCAGATCAGTAAACCAAAGGCTAGCCGTCACATTTAATTCGAGTCTTTGAACGATAAGCCAACCCATTGGGGCAATAAGGAAAGACTAAGATCCATACGTTCCTTATTGAGTAGCCACTTCCTGAAATAAAGGACAAAAAGTCCCTTAGTATGAGGCAATATACAAACCTTTATATGGTTAAAACGTATATTGTATGGCTCCTTCATCCGAACAAGTTCATAAAACCCTAGAAGAGGTTGAGCTGTTCATACAGCACCCTTCCAAGTCCGAGTAAGACTTGTCTTAAAAAGGCAAAACGGCACTTATGTCGAGCATCTATAAAAGGAGTGAGGCAAGATGGATGATACATACGGCTACATTGCCTAGTATAATACCCAATACAATGATAAAATGCTGAGTATAATCCTGAGAAGATTTACTCGGCAAATCACATTGTATACACTAGTAGAAAAAATGAAATAGGCATCGCAAAAACGGTGCGAAAGAAAATAGGCGGGATTGAGGGGAAGACTTTTCGCACCGGTTCTAACCAAACCGGTGCGAAAAGTGAGTAAATCGCACCGGTTCAAAGCTGTTGTAAAATTAAAAAAAAAAAACCGGTTTCTTTTACAGTGTTAGTTTTTGCTCTTTCAGGTTCTCGTTGTTCTCTTTATACTTGAGTTTGTGTGTTTGTTTAGTGTTATTGATGTTAATTTGATCAGTTTTGCTGTTGAGATCAATGAGCAATTGCGTCTTTGGTGGATTAGTTTTCCTTTTCCCTTCCATTTTAATCGTGGTGCTGCGAGGTTAGTTGTTGCGCGTGTGGTGCTATGCGTGTATTGTTGCGTGTAAGGTGTGCTGCTATTGCGTGTTGTGTGTGTTGTGTGGTGCTCTGTTGTGGGGTGCTACTGTTGTTGTTGAGTGTGGTTGTTGCTGCATCTCTAAGTGGATTGATTCTTCTTATTCTGTGAGTATATAAGATTACCAGAGTTAGGGAGAAAGAGGATGAGAGCCCTGAGGAAGAGGAGGATCAATTGTCACTGCACCAAGGAAGAGGTTAAATCTGAAGGTGCACTCAAAACCAATGCCAGACCCAAGCTCAGGAGAAACATGTATGCTTGCTAGTTCCTTATGTACTGTGATTTTGATGATGTTCATATAATTCTAGTATTGTAGTGTTATACCCAAGAGGCTGATGCTTTAATTGTGAATGTTTCAGGAGAGATGATGAAGCAGAGAATATCCCTATTTCTCTGAATTTGAACAATGTTAAGCGTGAGGCTAAGGTATCGCCCATAAGAACGAATCCTCCTACACCTCAGGGGTTTTCAGCCACTCGTGATCCTATCAAGGCCACACCTTCAAAGGGAACAAAGTCTAAGCTCATGTTATGGATCAAAGCTCTTTTAATGATGCCAATTCTTTGAATATGATCATTTGCTTCACCTTACAGATTGTATTCTCAATGCTAGTATATTCTTTCTTGTCAAGTTGTGGGATTAATTCCAATGTTTTTACTTGAAATTGCACATTACTAAATAAACCAAACTATACTAGGCCAATTTTCGGCAGTAAATTGATGAGAATCAATGTATGGACCTCAATCTCAACATATTATCATGCTAATTCTTAATCTATGTTACTGTTGCCTGTTCTTTTGGTGGTGCCAAACCAAGTTTTGTTTGGCTGAATCCTCACAATTTTTGAGTGAATTGATGAGAAAGTGTGCCGAAGCAAAAGCTATCCTCGTGGGGCTTCAACTTGCTGATTGGGTGGGCTGCACTGATGTGGTGGTTGAAAATGACAATGAGAGCGTCATTCATGCTATCAAAGAAGGTGAAGCTGGCAATCACTCATTCCAGCTTCTGTTAGAGGATATTCACTTTGTTGCTAGCTAAGTTCAGTTGTATTTCTTGGGCATGGGTGGGTAGAGAAGGTAATAAGGAGGCTCATGAGCTTGCTCATGTGTCTCCCTGGGGTCTTGATAGGAGAGTTTGGATGTCTGATTTGGCTATCTCTGATTTTCAGTCGAGTAATGATAATTGAGTTCCCTCTTAGGGCTTTGGTTCCAAAAAAAAAAAGAAAAGAAAAAGAGTGGTCTACTAGAATCTCCAAGTTGTCCTGCTACCAGTATTCTACAGTTGCTATGTTAAGCCTTTAAACTAACCATACTCTCCTGAAAACATGTAAACCAATCTTGCCATTTTGTTTTTACTGATTGATGTTAGTGTGATCTATTGATCCGAGAAAATACTTACAGCTGCCGTGAAATTGTCAAGATTTTCTTATGATATGGGTTCTTCTATTTCTCAGGTTCAAGAACCAATATATGGTGCCGAGTGCTTTACTTACGGACTCTTAGCTAGGCACAGGTGCCTTCTCGAGAGCTCCAGCCAGCTCAGTATTCTAGTCTTGAGAGCGTGTTTAACAACTATCATAGTCTTCAAACTATCTCTGGTTTATATGAAGCTAATCCACTCTATCTGCCTATTCTCTATCCTGTTGCTCAGGAGTAACATTTTTGAATTTGAGCGATGTACCTTTACAATGTGATGATCTTGCTCAGCTTCTTGGTAACTGTCTTAATCTCCGACGGCTTTGGGTAGGCATCTAAAACCTTTTTCTAACGTGAGACAAGATGTTTATTACTTGCACAGATTAACAATCAAATCAGCTGCTCTTTCAAAATAAATTTGCTCGAATGATCTCCACATTCTTTTGTTTATTGGATGCATTGCTTGATTTACTCCTACATTTAAATGAACTTGGTTCTTCTAAAGCTGTGAAAAGTCTTGTTTTTGATGCACTTATGTCATATGGATTGACTTTCATCATTGATGATCACATTTGCGATTTGATTGGTTTGATAAATGATCGAATACAAACTAATGGTCGCATAAAAGTGACTGAATGTTGATTATACTTGCTATATGTAAGCCATTATAGTTGGCAGAATTAAACATGAATAGTGGTTTTTTTTATTTTTTTTTATTTTTTTATTTTAAGCTTCTAGTATAGAAAACATTAAAAATGCAAGATGTTAATATTTTACGAGGCAGAGTTGAGGTTATTGCCAGAGTTCAAAATGCATTAGAAAGAAGCTTTGACCATATGTGGAATAATTTTTTTGATTTAATGGCTTATTGTTAATAGTGTACATCTGAGTCTGAACCAAGTATTAATTAGTGTGGTAAATGAGTGATGACTAGGTTTGCAATCCTGTAAAGATTGAATTTAAGATTGTAGATTCAGCCATATAATACTATATTGTACTTGCTACTCCGTAGTAATTTATGATTATGCCTCTTCTTAGATATATTTATTTTCTCACAAAATTCTGATAGCTTTTACATATCCAAACAATATTTACTGTTTGTCTTTTACATAAAGTTTCTCAATGCCTTTTGTGATTAAAGTAAATAGACATTGAACTGGTATTGATCTTGCTGCATGTACTTAGGTTCTAAAATTGCCATCCTTTTGTTATAGGTACTTGACACTGTTGGTGATAAAGGTCTTGAAGCTGTTGGGTCCAGCTGCCCTTTGCTTGAGGAACTCAGGGTATTCCCTGCAAACCCATTTGATGCTGACGTAGTCTACGGGGTAACAGAATCTGGTTTAGTTTCGGTGTCTTATGGATGCCCTAAGCTCCACTACGTTCTCTACTTTTGTCGGCAGATGACAGATGCCGTTGTAGCAACGTTTGCGAAAAACTGCCCCAATTTTACTCATTTCCGCCTCTGTATAATGAATCCAGGTGAACCCGACGACTTGACTGATGAATCTGTGGATGAGGCTTTTGGTTCGGTGGTAAAATCATGTAAGAAGCTCAGAAGACTTGTATTGTCCGGTTTATTGACTGATTTAACATTCGAATATATTGGCAAATATGCCAAGAACTTGGAGACACTTTCTGTGGCTTTTGTTGGAAGTAGTGACTTAGCTATGCAATGTGTTCTAGCTGGTTGTCCTAAGCTGAGACGGCTTGAAATAAGGGATTGCCCCTTTGGTAATAATGCTCTTCTTTCAGGGTTGGAGAAGTATGAATCTATGAGATCTCTTTGGATGTCGACTTGCAATGTCACAATGAATGCCTGTAGGCTGTTGGCAAAGGAAATGCCTAGGTTGAGGTCATAATGGTTGACGAAGTCAACAATGAATTTCAAGCTAGTAAAGAAGGAATGGAGGGTGTAATCTTGTATTTTATTTTATTTTCTTTGTGTGTAACCTTGTATTTTATTTTATATTTTATTTTTTTGGACGAAAATTATAATATTACAGCCTTTTTTTAATGAAAATATGTAACTTCATATATATATATATTAGTGTTTCTATATAAATTTAAGTGAAAAAAAATGCAAATTTTTATTTTTTATTTTTTGGGGTATTTTTAGCACTGGTTTTGAACCAAAACTGGTGCAAAAAGTTTTTTTTTGTAATTTTTTGGGCCATTTTCGCACCGGGCAAGAACCGGTGCTAAAAGTTTTTTTAAAATTTTTTTGGGCCATTTTTCGCACCGGCTCATAGCAAAGAACCCAGTGCGAAATCTTTTGATTTTTGGCATCTTTCAAATAAGGACCGGTTCAAAACCGGTGCGAAATGGGGGTTTTGAACCGGTGCCCATTTGTATTTTTTGCCTAGTGATAGCTCAAACTCCCAAAGTACAAAGATTCTAGGCAGCAGAAATGTCAAATAGAAATCTTAAACGTACTCCAAAGTGTAAGAATTCTAAGTCTTTTGGGCCAAATAGAATTCCGAAGACAAGTGCAAGAAGTGACAGATGGTCATCTTTCACCCCAATTAAGTCCAAGCCTGATTGAGTCATAAGTGACAAGGGCATAGGATGAAATTTCTCGTTAACAAGAACTTGAAGTTATTGAGATGGATAAAAAGATAAAATCAATTGACATCTCAAAGGTTAGTCCAAACGACTAAAAAATCGTTGGACGCCTAGAAAAGACAAAGGAAAATTCTTCCCACGTGGCATAGAAACGAGACTAAGAATCTCAGCAAATGTTATATTTTATTCGACACAGACACTAGGCAAAGCACCTCGGTTAGTGTTAAATGTTTCTCGACATTTGCCTAGTCTAAGTTAATCAAAACCTTCTCTATTTTGAACTAGACCAAATACCGAACGAATGCAAAAGAAGCATCTAAGCCTAATTGGCCATTAAAGAAAAATTGAGATATAGCCTAAAAGGGCTACAAAATTTGTCTAAATGGCAAGACAAGCACTACACGAATAGAGCAAATTGGCAACGGTTCAAACCCCCCCCCCCCAAAGGCAACGGTTTTGAACCGTTGCGTATTAGAGGGTTGCCAAATCCCAAAATAATTGGCAACGGTTCAAAACCGTTGCCAATTGCTATGGCGCCTTTTTTTTTAATTAAATTTAATGCAGTTGGCACCGGTTAACCGGTGCCATTGACTTGTTTTTTTTTTTTTTTTTACAGTTCAAAATCAGCATAAACTTGCACCATAATCGTTTAAACCAAAAAAAAAAAAACACCAAAATCGTATCAATGAACAACAAAACACCAGAAAAACAATGAACACCATAATATACATGAATATGTTATATTAAATAAATTGTTATTTTACAATTTATAAAAAAATTATATAAATAAAAACGTAACAATGAACAACAAAACACCAAATCCTTGAATCTTGAATCCTTCGTCTATGAGCAATCGCTGTAGTTGTAATACTACCTGCATCAATTAAATTAAAACCCCAAAAATCAGAAAAAAAATTCGAACCAATAACCTGGAAACTAATAAACCCAGAACATTAAACAAAGAAAAAACGATTGTTACGTTTTAATCTAGAACCTAATAAATCCAGAAAAAACCAATAATCTAGAACGAACCTAATAAACCCAGAAAAAACTAACAAAAAAACTAGAAACAAAAAACCCAGAAAAAACCAAAGGAATTCGAACCTAGAAAATTCTGAAAAAATCCGAACCCAGAAACCCAGAAATTTAAACAGAAAAAACCAAAAAATTCGAACCAATCAATTTCAAAACCCAGAAAACAATCCGAACCCAAAAACCCAGAAAAAACCAAAGGAATTCGAACCCAAAAATTCGAAAAAAATCCGAACCCAGAAATTTAAACCCAAAAAACCCAAAAAATTCAAGAAACTAAGAAATTGAGAAAAAATCGAGAAAAAACAAAAAAAAACCAGGTATTCGAACCTAGAAAAACCCAAAAAAAACGAAAAAATTTCGAACCCAAAAATTAAAACACGAAAACAACCAAAAAAATTCAAGAAAATACCTTGCGAATATCAGGAAACAAGAAGAACGAGTGATTTAAGAGATTAGAGAGATCTGAGGTGCATGCGGATTTTGGAGATAATTCTAAGGGAGATGAGAGAGAAGGAGCTCTGAATGAATTAGAATGAGAATGAATTTGAGAGAGAGATAGAGAGGCAGCTGAGGGAAAGAATAAAAGGAGCCCAATTTTTTTTTTATTAATTGGCAACGGTTAACCATTGCCAACACTAATCCTTTTATTTATTTATTTTTTTTTTTAAATAATCAGTTGGCAACGGTTAACCGTTGCCAACTCTAACCCTTTTATTTTTTTTTCTTTTTAAAAAAAAATAATCAGTTGGCAACGGTTAACCGTTGCCAACTCTGAAATTTTAATTGGCGCTCATTTTAGTTGGCACCGGTTTTCATGAACCGCTGCCATAGGGGGGTTGCCTATTAGTTTTTTCTACTAGTGAAGCCTAGGTCCAAAAATGATCCTTAAGGGATAGACCAAATAGCGCAAACCTCATTCGAATAAATGAGAGGAATTGGAAAAGCTTAATAGCCAAACAAACCTTGTAAGAAGGTATTTAAAGTAACCCATTAGTCACAAGACAATCAAAGTGGGGCTTAAAAGTATAAGGATCGACATCTGACTAGTTCAAGGGCAATCATTAGTATGATTAACTTAGAAAATATCATACCGGCCAAAGTATAAAAATTTTCCAAGTTAATCAAACATTTTTAATTGAAGTAGACATGATGCCGAATCCAAAGAAGTTATAAATTCATTTTCGAGAGGTATAATCCCTCTTGAGAAGAGAAATTACCCGTCTCGAGGGGCTTATGTTTATGGGTATTTTTACCCCCTTTTATAGACAAATGAGAGGCCGAAAAGTGGCCCTATTATAAGTCGACACGTGGCATCATGCTTAGCTAAAAAAGGCCAATATGAGCATGACACGTGGCCTAAGAGAGATACCAGAAAATGAACGGCTCAAAGCCCATTAAAAGAAATATGCCTAGCATGAAGCAAACCCTAATACACGTGTCAACCACGTATAAGGTAGCCGATCTTCCTAGGTTATGAAACCCTAGAAGCATGATCTCCTACTTCCCTATATATACCCCATGATTCCATGATGGGAAAGGAACTACATAATTCCAAAAGGCTCTATGCCCAAAAATATGCTCTCACTTCTCTCTACTTTCTCTCTCTAAAATTTCGTTTCCGATCACAAACTTGATCGTCGGAGGCGGATCTCCGGTTAACTAGACGTTGCATTCCGGATCTGTCTCCCAAGGGATTCATACCCCCTTTTAGGTTATTCCAAAAATACCTAAAACACTCTCCCCTTCCCCCGTCCTAATTTTGGCCTCCCTCTCCTTCCTCTGCCCTGATTTCGACCTTCATTCCCTTCCCCTATCTCAATTTCAGCTCTACTCACCGTCCCCATCAATGATTTCGGCCACCAGTTAGCAGCAGCTTGTCTCCGTCTACATTTTCAGGCCACCCCCCCCGTTAACTGCAGCTTCAAGTGGTGGGGTTGGGGTTGGGGGCTGTCGATTTTTTATTTTTTATTTTTTTTATTTTAATTTTTTTTAGGGCTATTTTTTATTTTGTTAAATTCAATTATTTTTTAATTTTAAATTTTTGATGAATCACGTAGTGACATGTGTATTTTAAACTATTAAAAAAACCCTATTTTATAGGTTACCGGTTATCTGGGACCATTTAAAGCGAATTGATATTAAAGGTGGGATTATTAAAAAATAATCCAAAATTGAGATTATTTTGGGCGGATGAGCCAAAGGTCGAATTATTCCGGACAATTTCTTCCAAAAGTAATTTGAATTCAGCAAAAATAAGGTGAAGTGAATAGGGCCTTAGTCTTGTTACCAATCCTAAAAAATAATTTATTATAAAAAAAATGGTTTTTAATAACAAAATTTTGTTTGTTAAAAAATATCAATCTATAATTTATTATTAATTTTTAAATTTTTTTTTTTAATTCTAGATCTTGGATCTTAAATTCTGTCTTACGTTAAATATAGATCTATCTATCTATACTTAGTGTATAATAACACAAGCCACAAATGACATGTGTCCCCCTTTTATTTCTCCATTTTTTTAATGCTTTAAAAAAACTATAACCTTATTACTAATTCACTATATGTATTTAATGTTTACATACAAGTACTATTTATGGGAGCATTTTAATTGTCACTCCGTTTTCCTTTTAAACTCTCATTTTTCTCAAGAATAATGTAAAATAAAAAATAATAACAAAAAAAAAAGTTTTTTTTCCTTCTAATTTTATTTATTTATTTAATTTTGTTTTATTTTTTTACAATGTAGTAAGCAAAACAGGAAAACAAAAACTACTTCTTTTCTCTAGTGCTACAAGCTAGATTATGAGTAGTCTTAAAATGGATACAACTACACTTAGATTTAGAATTACCGTACCCGTACCACCCTTCCTCTTCATATATACCTGCATGAAAACTGGACTTAATGTTAGGATAGGCTACATTAAGAAGCAAACTCTTCTTTCTTCTTCAAGCCCTTTCTCTGGTTCTCACTTCTGCAGATTGGGATTTGGCCATTGCTTCAGAAAAGTTTTTTCTTCTTGACTTCCTCTTGAACTTGGGCTATGGAAGAACGTTGTCCTTCCTAAGAACTGGCCTACTGTTCTCCTTCATATCTAGGTCATGGACTTGATGCTCCTTCGGTTCCTTGTTGCACTCATCTTTTTGTTGCAGATGAACATAATTGAATTCCACATTAACAAAGGCATTCTCCTCTCCATCAGTTGATGATGACAACTTTTTTGGACTGGTGTCATCATCATGGGTAACACTTAAAGTGGGTATCGAGTGAGATACTGCTGCTTCCCTCAAACTATGTTTATTGGGGGTCTCCATCATTATGTAAGTTCTTTTGGGGTAAGAGTACGTACCCTCAACATAGAAATTAATTGTGGTTGATAAAGCCACAACTCT